CTGCTGAAACCAATGGACGTCTTCCTACAATCATGTCTTTAAATACATCAAATATGTAGAATTGCAAAGGAAACCAATTATATTCATATAGTTTTCAAAATATTTTATTTGGGGGGGGAGGGGGCTAGGCAATGGGGGTTAAGTGACTTGCCCAGGGTCACACAGCGAGTGTGTTATGTGTTTGAGGCCAAATTTGAACTCAGGTCCTCATGAATCCAGGGCCAGTGCTCTATCCACTGCGCCACCTAGCTGCCCCTTTCAAAATAATTTTTTAAACAAGTTTACAGACCCCAGGTTGAGAAACCCAGGCCAGGGAGCACCTGTCAGCATGACTTCCCACTCATCTCAGCCCCCACCCACTGGCCACACCTATTTCTTCTACACTCCTTGTGTTGTTTCAGTCATTTAAGCCTCAAGGTTATAGTTAAACAAACATTAGATTAGCAGAAAAACATGGTAAAAATCAAGTATTAGTCACTTGAATCATAAAATGTAATGTTCCCAACACTTCCCAGCTCAAACCCTCAGGCAAACTCTACTCAGATTTGAATCTGTTTCTACTCTCTTTGGTTTCCCAGGCTGTGAAGAAGAAAGAGGATGAGGAAGTTTATTTCTTTCAGGCAAAACAAAACAAAACTTCCATTTCCACACAGTGAAGGAGCAGAGAATTAAAATAGTCATGCTAGTGAACTTATAAACAGCACCTGTAACTTAAGAGTCTCATTTTGTTCTTGTTGGGATGGGTAGCATATGCAGGTCATCATAGGTCACTCCTACAAGCCACTTTCTTTTCCATTGGCCACATGGTTTGTTTGGGCTACACAGCTCCAGGGTCCAGGTCATATCTGAATACCTCTAAACGGTTGATGGGACAAGGAAATTCTTAGACCTGTGCTATAAACTCCAGATCAGAGAGAGATGCTCTGTTGCCACCAAGTTTCTGGGTCTCTTTCTGTATTTCTTCTTCAAGCTCTATGCATACAAAGTTCTTTGGAAGTCATTTTCAGGGTGTGTGCACTCTGCCCTAAAATATCCCAGGAGCTGTAATCTAAAGGGCAAGCACTTGCCTAGTATATACAAGTCAGCCCTAAAGTTTTCTGGGAAGCTCAGGTTCATTGCATTAAACTGTTATTAAATCCTGCTTAATCTACCTCTCATTTTCTTTCTGGATTCAATTAGATTGCTTCCTTATAACTAACTTTGAGCTCTTAAGAGGCATATTCCTCCCAAAACAATCATGAGACTTCAGGGCAACTTAACATCAAAAGTTTTTCTCAGTTGTTTTTCCTCAACTTCTAGCAAGTTTTCTCCAGCACAACCACAAGTAACGTGCCTACCCTGCTAAACTGATAAACTAAGAGATGGCCTGCTCATTTCCTTTGGCTCATCTGTTCTCTCTTCCTTTTTTTTTTTTAATGAAACAAAGTGAAAGAAGGACATTATAGTAATATGCTACATCCAACACTCCTGTGATCCCAAATGACTATTTTTTTCCTAACAACAAAACAAAACAAGGTTCCTGATAGTGCAACAGGTTCCTTTCTCATATTTCCAGCAAAAGAGAGCTCAAGTTGGGCTCTGAGCCATGATTGTTGTTCCCCCCGACCCCTCCTCTCTCTGAATCTCTTCCCTATCACCAGCCACTATATTCATCATATGACATCACGTTGCAGTGGTGAAAAGGTACAATTTACTTAAAAAAAAAAAAACAAAGTAAATGACAAGGAAGTAAAGTCAGGCAACTCCATCAACCATTTCCCCAAACTACCTCCTCTCATGTTTCCAACAAATATAGTTTGTGAGACCTCAGATTCTGCTTTTCAAGCCAGCACCATAAACTAGAACAAGAAAAAAAAACAGGTTCATTTGGCCACATGCCCCCACCTCTGAGCAGGCTCATCAGCATGGCAAGGAGGTTATTGGAGTGGCACCCACAGCAAGCACAACGGTGCACGGATTGCTCATTTGTGAGATCCGAATCGGGAGCACAGAAACCCGGGCTGTAGAGAACACTGTTTCTCAGTAATAGGAAACTCTGGATCTTCATATACCTTCCTCTCTGTCTCCTGACACATCTTTGTGCCATTTCTCCTTCATTGATTCCCCGTAGTCTAACTCTCAACTCCTCCAGGACTCCTTTCAAAACTTCCTACCTTAGAGGAGTTCCCATGCTATAAGTCCACTCATGCCTTCCTGAGGCAAATTATCCCTAATCCCAAAGACTTGTGGAAACAGGAAGACTTCTGGAGAGGCTTCTTATACTTTTTAAACTCTTAGTAAATAGGGTCAAAATGCCCATGCCTTCCCCATAAGTGTTTGACTTCCTTAGCTATGTTTTGTATAATCTGGAATTTGAATATAATTTTGTCAATCTCTCTTAATGTGGCATTGAACAAGAACTTGCTTCTGATTTATTATTATTATTATTTTATCATCATCCTCATATCGATGAATAGAATGCTAGACCTGGAGTCAAGTAGATTTGAGTTCAAATTTGGCCTCAGATCTTGGGCCCCTGTCTGTCTCAGTTTCCTCAATTGTAAAATAAGGATAATAGCAGCACCTGCTGTATGAGGGTTGTGAAGATCAAATGAGAATAATTGTGAAGCACTTAATACAGTGCCTGGAACATAGGAGGTACTACATAAATGCTAGTCATCATCATTGTCATCATCCTCATCGTCATTGTCATTATTTATTATACCTGTGAGTGACCAAGAATCCCTCCTACCAGACACTCAACAACCTATTATCCAACCTCAGCCCAAAGACCTCCAGTGAGGGGAAACCTACTCTCTGAATAGAAAGCCCCCTTCTATTTTAGGATAGCATTCATTCTTAGGAAGTTTTTTCTTATGTTAAATCTTAATTTGTCCCTTAATTTGCTCGCTGGCAGTTCCAGCCCCTTGTGAAGTTTCAGTGCTATTAGAAGAAGCTATTGATTGATCAATCGATCAATCAATAGATACACACACATGCATATATATAATACATATACATATATACACACATGCTTACATATATAGGCATGTATGTATATATGACCAAGAATAAGGACTGAACCTATGATTTTGTTGCTCTATGGAATTTCAAAAGAAAACCTTCTCTACTAAGCTAAGTTGGCACCTAGTCTCTTAGACAATAGGCCAGAGCACTGAGAGCCAGTCACTATGTGTCAGAGGCAGGACTTTTAACTCAGATCTTGAGTACAGAGCCAAGTCTTTACCACTACCGTGCAGTCTCCCACAATACATATATGCAAAATAAATACATGGTAATTTTTGAGAGATGATTCTAGCAAGTTGACAGAGGCCTCCTGTTGAAGATAGCACTAGAACTGAGCTTTGAAGGAAACTAGGGCTTCTAAGAAGTGAAGAGCTAAGTGATCCCAGGCCTAGAGGCCAGCCCCATTCCCTACCCTTTCCAGTCACTGTGTCAGGGCCTCGAGGTCACCTTGCTTGTTATCTGTACACCGTTAATTTGTACACAAACATCTGAAGTCATGGGATTTATGGATTTTGTCTTTTGTGGGATAATGGGCCCAGTGTTGTAGCCACTATTCTCTGTGGTATCCAGCTTGATAGCTATATAAAAGCTGTTTTCTTTCTTTCCCTCCCATCTCATTTAATTCCCTCTCCATTAGATTTTCAAGCCTACAAGCAAATATACCTTCAACAGCCCTTCTTCAGTCCACTCCAGCCCTGGCCAAGGACCTATCATTCCTAATGATTCTACTTTAATCTGTGCCCTAGAAACTCAAATCCTGTTCTAAAGCAACATCTTCTTCACTTCCTGTTCATTTTCTAAATTTGCCTATACATTTTCTGAAGCCCTTGCCTTTGATCAGTGGCTGTGATGAAAAATAATAACACAAAACCATCTCTAACCCTAAGGTCTATCATTTCTTTTGCCCAGGACTGCATACATAATTCCTAGTGATGATTTCTAGGTTCCATTTTAAAAGGGAGGGAGAATAAGTATTTTTATAGCACCTGCTATATGCCAGGCACTGTGCTAAGTGCTTTACAAATATGATCTCATTTAATCCGTACAAAAAACCCTGGAGTTTAGGTGCTGTTATTGTCCCCATTTTATAGTTGAGGAAACTGAGGCAGACAGGTTAAGTGACTCGTTCAGAATTACATAGCTGGTAAGTGTCTGAGGCCAGATTAGGACTCAGGTCTTCCTGACTCCAGGCCCTGCACTCTATTCACTACTATTTGTCTCCATATGAATGACTAGAAATAGGCAATAATCATCAGAGAAATTTAGGAAAGTGATATGTCACATTCCAGATACATACCCCAAGGGGTAATAAGGCTCTATCAGGTCAACAAACGGATGCCTCTAAACCTCTCAGAGGGGAGCAAACGACTACCACCATTTGCCTCTTCCTGTTTTGAATATTACAGGATGATCTTTCTCCTGTTGGCAACTGCAGAAACATCATTCCTTAGAATGAAAATAGCTGCTTTATCCTCAGAGAACTCAGCTCACCCCTCCTTTAAGAAGTATCTCATAACTATTCCTTAACTCCATATGTTCAGTGCTTCATCTTCTCTTCCTCTTCCTAGTCACGTTCTTCTCCTCTCCAACTTCCTGACATAGGTCAGTCAGTAAACATTTTTTAAGAACCTACTACATGATAGGAACGTGCTAGGCCCTACGGATTCAGAGAAAAGCAAAAAATGAACAAACAAACAAAAAACCAAAATCCCTGCTCTTAAGGAACTCCTAGTCTAATGGGGAAGACAAAATGAAAACAACTATGTACAAACAGGATATATGTGGGATCAATAGGAAAGAATCCACAGAGGTCAGGATTCATTTCTTTAGATCCTTTTGCTTTTATCATGATACTCTTTTTTCCACTTTTAAAAAGAAGGTATTTAATCTTTCCAGATAACCTGGAGACTGGAAAAGCATTCATCTAAGTAAAACTTTATCTGCTTCTAGGAGGAAGACCAATCTGCCCTTTAAACATAGATAGCAGTTATTACCTATGGCAGAAAGACAAATACTATACACTCCGTAGACCTCTGCAAAATGTTCCTTGCTTTCTACATTTCCTGAAAGCTGACTTTAGTCTTCAATCCAGTTATTCCTTGTATGGCCAACTCTCATAGGGAGCTGCTGTGGCAAACTCTATAGGCCATACTTGTTCTTGCTGGGAATTAATTCACTGGGCTTGATTTATTTACACTGGTCCTCTTGCCTTTTCCATTGAATGAAGCCAACTGGCTGGATGGCCTTGGATTAACAATTAGCAGGTTCCTGTCAAAGGCCAATGCAAAAAGAAAAATGAATTTAGGTATAAATACATATGCACACATACTTTGTCACTTATAACCTCTGTGGATTTGGGCAAATCATTTCTCAGAGTCTCAGTTTTCTTATCTGTAGTTGAAGGGATTTGAGTTCGATTTCTAAAGGCTCTTCCATCTTGAAATTTAGGACTCAGTTAGTTACTTTATAATGGCAAGCATCATTCTCTGGTCAATTTAGCAAATTTGGATTTTAGGTTGTCACTCATAGCTGCCATTTATAGAGCACTTTAAGGTCTGCAGAGTATTTTACCTATATTAGCTCATTCGATCTTCACACCAGTCCTTTGAGGCAAAGTTTAGCTATTGACATTTCTGTTTTACAGATGAGACAATTGAGACTCAGAGAGGTCAGATGACTTGCCCATGGTTATGCTACTAGAATGATCCTAGACTCCAAGTCTAGCCCTCTTTCCACTGTACCATAAAAACTCAGAAAGCTGTTTTCTTAAAGTGGATCATACCCTATGTCGGCTTAGTAGGTTTACAGGAAAGGAAAATTAGCTGGTTATTTCTGGTTTCTCTATGTCCCTTGCTGATGTAATCATTGCTTAGCTTCCATATTTCAATTCAGTTCAATCAACATTCATTAGGTACCCACAATATGCAAGACACTGGGCTAGATGCTAGGATCAAAGACAAAAACAAGAAAAAAGAAACTGTCCTTGCTGCTGATGCTAAGGCACAGTACTTGGCTCATAGTAGGCATTTTATACATGCTTCTTCTTCTTGTTCATAGAGTTGCTTCCAGAGAAGTATTTCATAAACCTTAAAGAACTATATCAACAGCATGCAGAACAGAGAGAGTGATAGGCTTGGAGTCAGAAAGTCCTGAGTTCAGGTCTGGCTTCTGACACTCACTAGCTGTGTCACATTTTTCCTCAGTGTACTTTATTTTCCTTATCTGTAAAATGGCAATAGTCCCTATATTACAGGATGGCTGTAAGTCTCAAATCAGATAATGAATATAAAGTGCTCTTCAAATTTTAAGGCACTGTGTATGTCAGTTATTATCATTACACAAACACTCTCACCCTTTCTTCAACCACATCTAAGAGATATGTGTAATTCTGAGGAGCTACCTGGGTTACCTTTGGGACAAGATAATCAATTAGTTCCTCTCTATTAAAACTCCTTCCAAATGTCAGTTATTATTAAGAGGTTAAAGCTATTGACTAAAATGAGGTTTGTGAATTTCATTTGTTCTACTTAATCCTTATTACTCCTCATTATTGAGAGTATATCAGGCCCCTGGACACATAGTCTGTTACCAGGTCTTCTGGTCCTGGCCTCAGAGTACAAATTGTAAATTGATAACCCTGAGGGCTTGGAAAATTATTTGTTGGGGTTTTTTTTATTTTAATTTTTTAAGTGTTACTGATACCTTTGTTTCTTTACCATAGTCATTTCATCATCATCATCCTCATCATCATCACCTCAGACACATACTAGATGGGTGACCTTGGACAAGTCACTTAATTTCTGCCTCAATTTCATCAACCGTAAAATGGGGATAATAATAGCACCTACATTTCAGGGTTGTTGTAAAGATCAAATGAGGTATTTGTAAAGTGCTTAGCCCAGTAACTGTCACCTAGTAAGCTCTGTATAAATGCTGCCTATTATTATTATCCCCATTATACAGTTGAAGAAATTGATTTGTCCAAAATCTCACATCTAGTATATGACTAAGGTAGGATTTGAACTCAGCTCTAACATCTCCCTCTGAACCTCATAAGAAAGAAAAGCAGTGGGGCAGCTAGGTGGCACAGTGGAGAGAGCTCCAGCCTTGGAGTCAGAAGGACCTGAGCTCAAATCTGACCTCAGACACTTGACACTCACTAGCTGTGTGACCCTGGGCAAGTCACTTAACCCCATTGCCTTGTCCAAAAAAGGGGAGGGGGAAGAAAAGCAGCTAAGCAATACTGATCAATAAAATGGTATCTGATAGTCTATCCCCTATAGTCCCTTCACACCACTACTGAAAAGAAAGGAATGTTTCACCATCTGTTTGTTCTCTAGAACTGTGATTGGTTATTCTAGCTCCTCAGAGTTCAGGTGCCTTTTAACATTTCCGTTTAGATTATCACAGCAATTGCATGTATTGTTCTACTGGTTCTTGCATTTCATGCAAGTCTTCCCTTGTTCCTCTGCAGGAATAGGTTATCGGTGCCCAAACTCATCTGACTCAAGGACCTAGCATGGAGTCAAAGTCTAGTTGCTAGGCCAGAGATGAAGCTATTTCCCAAATAGTTTCTTGTTAAAATTTAGAGCTCAATTAGGCTGATATCTTCAATTTACAGATAAGGAAACTGAGGCCCAGAGATAATAGACAATAAGCCTCACAATAAACACGACTCATCCTACTATCTGTGACTTCAGCCTAGTCCTTGCCTCACCACCCTTTCAGCTTCTCTCTCTGGTCCTGTCTTGGCTTGTCAATCATGCATCTTTTTGTATAGAGAACCTCTAGCCCGTGTTCTAACATAGAACCTTCTCCCTTAGGCCTGTCTGCTGTGGTTCTTTCCCAAGCTCCTAGACCTACCTTTTCCCTACTTGAAATTCTTACTTTGAGTTTGTCAGTTTCTACCCACGAATGACCTGGATTAACCCCTTCCCCAGCTCCTCACTCTGATTAGTCAGTCCTGGCATTTGTTTACTGGACCTACCTGTAAGTCTTGTTTTTGAATATCTACTCCCTATACCTGCTGGCCCATGCCTTCGTCCCCTTTCGGCAAAGAAAATTAGGGAAAGAGACTAGAAGATTTAGAGTTGAAAAGGACCCTAAAGATCATCCCTCTCCAACTTTACAAATGAAAAACTGAAGACCAGAGTCGGCAAGTAATTTGCCCAATGTTCCAAAGATTAATACCTAGCAGAATATTAATTCTAACTAAAGTTATTTGACTTCACCTCCAGTGTGCTTTCTACTACTCTCTGCTGTCTTCTCCGACGCTCCCTCCCCACCCCCACCAAGTACGCACCTTCACCTTAGCCTCTCTTAACCCGGGGCAGGCCTTCCTGTGACAAATAGGCTTTATGACACAATGTTCTACACTTGTGCCAACACAGATTGGGGGCATGAAGGCCTGGAGTCGCAATCTAGAGATTTATGCTACTTTTAATGGCTCAACTCCTACCCAGAAATTAGGAAAAATTCACCTTTCTGGAAAATCCAGTCCTCTTCTACTAACATGTCAAGTTCAGTCAACAAATGATTATTAATGCTGCCATTGTCATAGTATTCCCTGAGACCTTGATGGGGGGCCAGAGACTAAGAATATTTAAAATCTAAACCAGTGGTTCATAACCCGAGCTCCACAAATCCCTGAAGGGTCTTGACAGATTTCAGGAGCCTGTTAACTGGAACGGGGATGGTTATTTTCACTAACCTTTGGGCTAGTGCTTCTGTCAGCTACTGTCTGCTCTTGCCACTTGTTAAGAACTAGCAGACTCATAATTACCTATTCTAGAAGCTGGGGAGGGCATGGGTGTTCCAGAAATACTTTAGGACTTAGGACAAAAGGCCTCATTGTGGGAGAGATGAAGGGAAGAGCTCTGTCAGGGGAGACACAGACCCTGGATCTCCCCAAGGCTGTGACTGAGGAGGTAGGTAGAAGAGGGTAGGATATAGCTGTGTGGGAAGACCATGAAATTCCACTCTGGCCAAGGCATGAAACTTTCATTGTGATAAGGGTTAAAATTTCAGTCCTTCACAGAGGAGGAGGAGGAAAGAAGTGATGCTACCTCTCCCCTAGTTTGGGGTACTTTGAAGCAAATCCCCAGCCTTTCCATCCTAGTTATGGCTCTAGGAAGTAGGCTCACGACACCTAAGGCAGCAGCTGTGTTGTCTCCTCAAAAATTGATGCATCTTTGTTCTCCAGGGCTCCTTTTTGTTTGCTTCTTAGTGGCAGTCACTAAATAAGTCCTTCTATTTAATTAGAGGGATTTATTCTCCTACACAGTACCTTACACATAATAACTCAATGCATTTTAGCAAACATTTATTCATCTTGCCTCTGACACATATTGTCTATGTGATCTTGGGTGAGTCACTAATCCTCCGGTAATTCTCAAGACTACAATTTGCAGACAAAGTTCCTATCTGCGTTGGAGAGGAAATTATTCTCAAGAAGTTCCCTGAAGCTATGAAATTGCAGATCTGGTCAACAACAACAACATGTTAGATTATAAGGATAAAGGGATAAAAATAAAAGTTTATGCCTTCAGTAAACTCACATTCTATGTAATGGAACCTGATAAAGGTATTTATTGAAATGAATTTTGTGCTCCATCTCTGCTCAGTTGTCCTTCCAGTACAATGCAGAAAAAAAAAAGATGGAGAGTGTCCTCAAAGAACTCTCTAAGGCTTCCAGACCATTCTATTGGGAGCATCATAAGGGCAGACTGTCTTTTAATTTTCTTTGTATCCTTAGTGCTTAGCACAGTGCCTGCCACATAGTAGGCACTTAATAAATACTTGCTGACTGACTTCCTTATCTCTGTGTAGTACTGAAGGACATCATAAATGGGCCCCACACACAAAAGAACAAAGAACCTGCTTCCACCATAGAACTTGGCTCTCTTGGCCCTGAGTAGTGTGCATAATCAGTCCTATAATGGAAAAGTAGTATGCAAGTTCCTAAAAGAATGTAGGCTACTTAAGGACAGGAACTGGTTTTTGTTTGTTTTGTCTTTGTATCCCCTCTGTGTTAAATTCAATTAAATTAAGTTCAGTAAACTTTTATTAATCACATACTGCATGTAAGATTCTGTAGGTGAAAGGGAAAGGGAAGAGACACAAAAATAAAAAGAAAATAACCCTTGCACTTATTAAATATTTGTTGAGTAAACCTGAATTTAAATGAAATGAAAGTATATTTCTGAAATAGGAATTTATTGTTTTATATTGAATCCGCTCGTGTTCTGTTGTGCGTGTGGAAATGTTCT